ATAAATATTTGATTGACATTTAAAAGCTATTTTATAAAGATTTCAATTTCTCTTTGCGTTTTAGCTTTGATTATTCGGATGGAATAAAATGACAGGCAGCCTACTCCACTGGGTCGAGTTTTTCTGTGCAAATTCCTCCCGTCGGGGGGTTATGTTTACAACATAAGCTTGTCAGCTTTGCGCTGATTGGCTAGCCGCATTTTCTCAAATCACCCAGATTATTGTCCAATAGATACAAATGGAGTTTCGAATTTTTACTGGTGGTATCCAATTGTTCTATATCGGCCATGTATAAAATAGAATTAAATGATAAAAAATAAAAAAGCACTGGAATACGTTCCGTACCTTCCATTCTCTAGAAAACCTCAAAAGAGCTTTGAATTATTTTTTTTTACCAAGAGTACCCCGTTAGACTTCAAGATGGGGCATAGTTACTATACAGGACCCTTTCGCAAAATAGGATATGGATTTTGTGCTTCGTGTTTTGTATACGGTATAGAGATATCAACTGAAAGTCCATGTTCAAATCTGAAGTRCCCGACCCTTTCGTCTCGTGGATGAATAACATTTTTTTACGATTCCATGACATCAATCGTSGTAAATAAGACATATACCACGAAAAACTATCAAAAATTTGTTAAAACTAGTGCATAGATTATGTATCTTTTATCCACAGTGTAATAATTTGAATTCAACTTCTATGCTCGTTAATCAGCAATTTATCATTCATTCCTTACCTGGATGCACGTACATATTTCAAAGACATTTTAGGTGATGGTTGTGCTGTTTCACGTGCGAAATTTCACTTGGTTTGGTTCATTTAGAGTGAAAATGGAAACTAAATGATGTTTCCTACAGACTATCGTACAGTATAAATCAGTTATTATTTATTTCCCACCAATTAGAAAATCCCATGACTCCTTTCGGCCGTACAAGCTCCGTCCGACAATTAACAATCGCAATTTAAAATTTTTATCCAGAACGTTTGTTGAAATTAATAGATATATTCAAAATATGGGTTTCCAAATTACCTTTTAAAAGATCGATTTAATTCAGGATCATTGTCTTTTTTGACGAGTTTTTATCTTCTTTCGTTTTTAACACCCTAGCTGTGAGATGTCACTTCACTCAGTCAATTATATTGCAGTATACTCTCTATATTTAAAATGTCTGACCTTAACAAATAATGGTTCTGCAATATTCAACATTAAGCAACAATCTATAAGGACTCTATCTGATTCCACCAGTTCCTTTTCATGAATTAGCAGGTAAATTATTTTCTTTTGGATATGAATTATAAAATGTCACAAATGTATTTTTAGCACAGAACAATTGGACTCTCATATCATCATTATCAATTACTTTGATATTGCAAAAGCTGCTTTGCCACTTTATACGCCATACTTTTGCTGGCTGGAAAACGAATAAAAAAGCATTTCAAAGAAACGTATGTTTGCGATATATATATCACAGTAGAGTATCGCAGTAGAGTATCCCAGAGAGTATGATAATATTTTCCTATTGAAACTCGAAAATGGTAGTGTTTCAAGGATTTCAAGGGGTAAACTATTCCAAACCACAGTTCAGTTGTAGCTATGATTGACTATTACTATGATTGCAGTTCGTATAAAAATACACCAGCGAAAAATAACGACGCGAAACTTAATGATTTCCACTTATATGGGTCATGAGAGAAATAATGTTGCAATATTTTCTCTTGACAATTTTAGTCAAGGGACAAACTTTTAAAAAAGCTTAACATGTTTTCTATAAATTTTCTTAAATTTGATCAATAAAGAGTTTGACGTCAAATAGAAAACATGTATCATGGAAAGTCTTGGTCTTTTAGTGTGTCAAAAGGGATAGCTTTTAAAAACAAAAACAAGTTCACATGTCGCATGAAGCCTAAATATATTGTTTCTAGGTTTTGGTCGATTTTAATTTGGGAAATTAATCTAATTAATAAACTAATTAATCTCTTTGTATGAAGCGCCACGGGATGTACGTGTACGTCTAGTGGCAATTTTCCTCATTTGACTACTTAATCATTCGTGATTTAAACAGGTCATAGAATTGAACATCTTCCCAAACTAAATCAACTTGAAGACGTAGTGTTTTATTAGGTATATGTATTTATGACTATTTGTTAAAATCCACCAAACTGTTTCAAATTCCAACATTTGATGGGCTGTTGAACTATCATGGTACATTCATATTAGACCATGAAACACATCAAATAAAGTGAAAAACTTCGTTTTAAAAATGTTGAGAAAATTTGAACAGTTGTAGCTTCTTTTGTAAAATCAGTCCTGTCCTTGCCAACAAAACAACTAGACAACTATTTTCGTAGAATAAGTGTAGAGTTTTGATCGACCATTCGGACAAGTTCCGCCTCGTGGACTATCAATCTCGTTGTTCACTCGACCTATTTGTCTATTTAGTGTCTATTTGTGAGGTAGTGCAACTAGTTTTTTGCCATAAGAAACAAAAAATACTATAATGACAGTCAAAATGAGATTTAACAAAACAAACGTTTGCCTATTTCTTCGAAGTATGTCTGCTTCGCTGCCAGGATGAGATTAAGCAAAATCCTTAGACTATTGAAATTTAGGGGAAATGTGTAAATATTTTTCCCCCTGCATTGACACTGTTTCATTCAACTGAAAAAAAGATACAGTTTTAGGAAATTTATCAATCAAAATAATAGTATATAGAACATCATATTTCTGTTATACAGTGGACATCTCAAATCACAAGCTATTGACATGTGGGATGTCCAGGTATGAATGAATGCAAAATAATTTACAAATATCGGGTTATAGAAACATAGTCGGGGGTAAGATCTTTTATGTCTATCTCAGTTAATTAGTTTCTTTGTGAAATTATTTTTTTTTGGAAATTAATTTTGATTAACGACAAAAACCATGCGTCTTCTTTTACATTCTTGCCCCCTCCTATAAAATGGCTGCCGTATTGTCCAGTATTGTTCAGTAAGTAGTAGTCCATTGGACCCTGCATCTTTTTATGCATCCAGGTTCATAAACAGATCATTAGCCTATTTAACAATAATCAAAAAAGTGTGTTATCGTGTTTTGCTCTTACCGTATTTCCACGTGTTCCTCTCCACATCAGTCAAGACCAACTCGATGACATATAAACAGGTTGAACCATTTGTACCAGTCAGACTAACCAATAGCAAGGATCATCCTTCATTCCATTTTTTTGGCGAAATCTTTATGTCACTCTTGCTGCTTTTGAAACCACAATTTACTCATCCATCTTTCATATTTGACTGTTCTACTCGAAGCATTTTTCTTCATTTTCTTTTGTTGGGTTTGCTCTTGATTGTACTTTACGACTAGCAAACAATTACAGCAACCGAATAAGCAAGTAAAAGGTATTGGTTTTGAAAAAACAAAGGAACCAAAAGTATTTGTATTCATATATAGTAACTTTGTCGTCATATATATGTGTTCGAAGTGACAGATTTCATTGAAACCATGAATTTTCAAGATGCAAAAAATCAAATGTTGCAAGTCCTTTCCAAAAAGTTTTAAAAGCCATGATGGTATCTTAGAATCTAGAATTCCATATATTCTTGAATTGTTTAAAAATAGTCTTTGCTCAGATATTTTGTTATTTGTTGTCGAAGACAAATAGCCGCGATTTAAAAAAAGTTAAGTTTGTAAAAATTAGTTTGCATATTAGTTGATAATGTCGTTTGATAATGAAGAATATACTTAATTATTATTAATTTGGTTTTACTTTACTGGACATCCATAGGTCTCAAAAAACGATGCTGTTCGTACACTGCCTGATATTATTTGCTTTCGTTTGTGGGATTTTCAGGTAATTTGTCCATAAAAAAATCCAAATAAAGCCTAAATTAACGAAGTAATTTCTGGCTGTAATTTGATTAATTTGCTGAAAAAATTATGTACTTTCCCTTTGCAGCGAGACAATCGAGACTCCCAATCCAACAGCAACATGTCCTATCAGTCTTCCTCAGGATGTACCATGGGACTCACAGTGTTATCGCAAGCGGCAGTTGGATTTGATTTCAAGGCGTTATGCCTATCGCGTTAAGCAGGGCACTAAAGAAATACCATTCAACCGACTTGAAACAACACCGGCAGACTACAAACGGTTCCTACTCACCGATCCATTCCTATTTCAACATGCTCTAACATGGAGACAACAAATCAATTTTGTAGAGTCAAGACAGGCAGTTTATCTTGCTGATAAGGTGTTTTTACCAAAAGCGATGAATATGTCAGAGTTTCAAGCTATGAGAAAATTCTTTAAGACTGGTTTGCAATCAAGACAAAATCTTCTTAAGGTACGCACATTGTCCTTGTTGCAAGCCGTGTTGCTAACTAAACTAGACAGATGTGATGTGATGTGGTCTAAAATCCGACTGCATTTGATACTCTCCGGGCTTAGGAAGACATTTAAATTCTGTGTAAGGGGCGGATTCAGGAGGGATAGGGAATTGTCCCCCTTCTTTTTCTTACTTAATACCCGGTGCTAGATTCTTATTGTATTGTAAAAATATTTTTCCCCTTTCAATAAAGAAGACAATGAAAACTGAATCTAAATAAAACCGTACATATTTTTTGTTGACACACTTCACAATATTGTGAATTTCGATCCTGAAAAGTTCACGCTCGAAAAAATAAATATATTTGGATCAACAAATCCACCACTCAATATCAATTGAACCTGTTGAATGATTTCTGATTTAATGGATTGTTTATTGTTTATCTCAATATTTTTATGCCCTCCACAATAAAATGACTGATTTTCGTATTTTGTATTTTGTGCTGGGTGCTCTGTAATCTTAGCTGTTATCATAACTGATGAAAACTATACAAAAAATGCATACCTCTGTTTCTTTGAAGGGTTTAATGAAGATCCCCTCAGACGAAGACAGTTTCAATAACGATATTGAAGACTGGATTTCTGACAAATACTTTGCTGAGCAGCGATTGGCAGGAACCAATCCGATGACACTTCAAAAAATAACGATTGATTCCGAGTGTAAGTAACTATGATATTGATTGGTTCAGTTTTATTTTCTCATAAACTCATCCATAACTAATGGGCTATTAGGTCAATTGGATTAGCCTACTTGGTCACATGTAAGACGCCTTTATATCTAAATTTCGCAATTTACCGATTTTTTTGTTGTGCTTTGGATTTCAACTATTGTTAGTGCTATTTTTTTTTTCGCAAAAAACACCCCACAATCTCCGAGTTAGAAGTTGCCATTGGCAGCTTGATCATGTGCGTCATGATGAAGATTGCTCAAATATGCCCCATTTGAGAGATCGGTAAATAGTCGTTAATGGAAAAGTTTCCTAAGTGCCAGTTATTAGCTCTATTATGTCATTATGTCATTATGTTATTTTATATTTAGCTCATGGCTGCAATATTTCTTGTGCTTTTTTTTTGTATTTCTGTGAATTAGTTGGAATGCCGTACGAGGATCTTAAAAAAATTATTAATCCCACTTTCGAATGGACAAAAGCTTTGTACCGAGTACTGGAAGATGTCACTGATGTCGATTCTGTATTGGAGGTAGGTAACCGCTGCTCAGTCGCTTACTTGAATCGTTCTTAAAAATTTTTATGTGACTGAATGTTGAGATTTTCAATATCTGCAACTACATATGTTTTGTCGAGTATACACCATGCAAACATTGAAAAAAGCAAGTTAATTGGAATAGTCTCCTTCAC